CCCGTGCGTGTTCCGTCTATCCCTCTATCTAAATGAGATCACATCTAGATATCTTTGATGTTTATAGCCGGCATGAAAAAGTTTTAAAGTGTATTAAACTTTCTCGAAAAAGCGAACAAAACGCGCACGCGCGCAGCGAAAAATCGCCGCTGGAACTCGGCTCGGCTCGAACGCCTTTCTTCTATATATGTATATATAAATATAAACATAAGTATATATAAAACAATATTCTAACATTTCCAAAGTGCTCGTATATTTTATGTATTAGGCGTTAATATCGCCGGTATTAATTGAATATAATTAGCCTCACTTTGGGTTTTGCCAACACGAGTGCGTACAGTCTGCTGCGAAAGTCTCCTTGCACCGGATTTAATTGCCCGCGAAAGGAAAAATGTTATTTTCGAATGTCTAGCGGCTGATTTTCATTTATTTTTCTTTACACGTCGAACGACAGGGTCGAATCGGAAATCACGGAATTCATTACACGCTCGACGGGGGCTCAGCGAAACTCGGCAAATTCATTGTTACAATTTCAGAACTTCGTTTCCCTTCGATTCGCGCAATTAATTTCACCCGTGAGAAAAAAAGGGAACTTCTACGCGTACCCCGACGCTCGGATATCCATTTCTGTCATCGCTGACTATCGCGGAATTCGAGTAAAATAGAAATTCCATCTCGTCGTTAACAGCTCCAATATTTTCCAAACAATATAGGAAGGAACGACATCGTTCGAAAAGTTTCGATTTTATTTCTTCCCGAAGATTTTTACGGTCTATAAATACGTGGTACTGCGGAGTTTATTCATGAGGCTCGTTCACAGGGGACACGTGAACTCCGCCGGATCCTGTGATCCTGGTTCCAACGCGAGTCGACAGGATCCACTGTTCTCTGGCAGGTTTGATAATGGTGGAGCGAACGAAAGTAGAGATCGAACGCCGCGTGTTTCAGCGTGTATGGGCGTTAAGTCTCGAGTTAAAGCTTAGGTTTAACCTACTACCTAATCACTTCGTATACAACACTCAATTAATACCTAAGATTGAACCCTTTGCACTCGAGAAGCGACTATCAGTTGCCACTTGCTTTGATACAGCAAAATTACAAAGCGTGATGTTTCATTTAATTTTTGTCTAACGCATCAATCCGTGAAATATTGAAATAAAATAGCTTTGCTCAGTTAGTTTTTAATCTACTGGTAAGTTTCAAACAGTGTCTAACAGTGTCCCGAAAAGCTTTTTAATGCAGACGGTTAACTCAAGGATTCAGGTGAATACAAGGCAAATTTAAAGAAAGCACCTTTACAGAAAATTGGTACGTGTTCCCGTATTACTTCAGTCAAAACGTTCTTTTCAACAATACCACCTATCACATGTTTGGAACGTAACGTGTTGGAACAGATCGAAATGCAACAAATGAACATCTATATCTAATGGTCCACAAGAATCTTTGCTTGAACTGATACACATTACGTGTCCGAACGGATGGTATAAACGCGCCTTTACTCCGCTCCAGATGAGACGTTCCGGAGAGTAGGTGGGTCGTGTGCGAGGGTTCAACCCAGGGCGGTAGCGTGCCTCGGGCGATTGATGACTTGTGACCCACTTTTAAAGGCTTGTGGCCTAGATGCGAGGGTGCCGTGGCCCGATCTAAGATATCAGGCTTCCTTCCCCCTTCTCCCGCGTTGCTCTTCGCCCACGGACACCCGTCCCGTGCTTCCCTTTTCTTTTCCCCTCCACCCGTTCTTTTACTCTTTCTCGTCTCGTCCTCGAGCCATCTACTTACTTTACTCCTCGTACATGACGGCTCTCCGGACGTGGATCGCCAGGACGTAACTCGTGTCTCCGTACAACGCTCACACCCTTTTCTTTTTCGAAATTTCGATGGTCTTTTATGCAGTCTCCCCTGTGTTCAAGGTGGCGAATTTAAATCTTGGAAAAGTTCTTAGGAAAGGATCTGGTGTTCTGTGGATTTGACGAGGATGTTTTTTTTTAAAGGTTTAAAGGTTTCGAGGGTTTGTTGGTGCAATTTGCGATCCTGAACGATTTTGTTGTATGGTATAAGATTATTTTTAGGAGTGTTCTGTGCGAGAGAGGTTTGATGAGAATGGTTTCAATTTGAATTTTACTTTAATGAGTTCTGTACCAGTGTTTTGTATGAAATATTGTACTTTCTGTGGAAATTCTCCTCGAAGGTTTTCATCCGTTTGTTATGGAGGATTTAGTTACGAGATTTTATAATATTCACACTTTCAAATGGAATTTACATGTTAATGGGCGCAGCGTAGAATTGTATTTACGAAATTGCACATATGAAGGATATCATTGTTCTGTATCGACTCGCTGTTTTCTGGCCGTTTGAATCTCATGCTAGGTTCTCGCCATCAATCCTTGTAAATTAGGTTACGCAACAATTACATAACATCGACAATTGCTGTGTCCTTAATAACTACCTTAACTGACCATGTAACTTGCTATTACGATCAACAAGAAGAAATTTATTTGTGTCAGTTCCTGCCTGAAAAACAACGGAAAAATACCTGTTTTATTGGCATTGCAATTACAAAGTCATTGGTTTGACAAACAAAAATCAATTGTGTAAACAATACCTGTTACATATTCATTTAAATAAAACAAAAAAATAAGTAAGCAGTGACTGAGATTGTACTTATAAATACATCCAGACAAATGATGTTATTGGAAATTATATAGTTAGATCTATTTCAATAGACATCAGCTCCGTTTGTCATTTGAAATATTTATTCAATGCTTAAATCTCAATCCTGATATCAAACCCAATTGAACTTTCGTATTTTTAAACTGTATGGTCCATTTTGAGATTGTTTTCGTTTAGACCTATATAAACCCACAGACTTTTTCCGCAAATCATATTCATTCGAAACATATTACATTTACCAAAACTAAAACGGTACTTACAACACCTTCAAATCAATTATTCGATGTCGAAGTCACTCGCAGGTATCCTCGTCTTTCCAAAAAAATACGGAACACTCAGAGCAATTCGTTCGGATTCAAGCACCCCCAGCAGCATCACTTTCATTTTCCAAAATACAGAATCCTCAGACCCAAGCAAACCTCCGGAGTTACTCGGTGCCCCATCCCGTTCTTCCTAATTTTATTCATTCCCACTTTCCGGCGACGAGTATGCTCACATAGAGTACACACATGCGAAGATCCTCCCACTGTTATCCTGGCGGCGCGTCAGCTTTCTTCGACGCCCGGCTAACTGTGACAGGATCGTCCACCGGAAGGAACCGACGTTACGTGTGTGTACAAGCATAAAGTTTCGTTGAAGCTCACCACACAGCCAGAGAGGGAGACAGAGCCACATTGTAAAGAAAGGCGGCGGTGGGAGCGAACGGTGCGCTGAGAGAACGAGCGAAAGAGGGACGAAGAGGGAGCGAGTGAGGTAGTCAGAGGCAACGTGTGTATCGGCATCGAGCGTGGTGGGTAGCGGCGGCGGTGGCGACGGTGGAAGTGGTAGCTCGCCGCGTCGGGCTAGTGGGGGTTGGCTCGCGTCGCAGAACGAGGCGAAGTACGGTGTAGGCGCGCTCACCGGATCCAGCTTCAGTGTCGTTCCGGCTGCGGCTTCGTACGGTTAGCTACACACCTCCGTCGAGTCGTCGCGTCATCGCAGGTAGCCTATCCTGCCCGTAGAGCGCACGGTTGTCGGTTATGATAGCCAGTGTACCACTGATCCCCTTCAGTTCAGTGCCGGACCGCTTAAACCCCGTGAACGATGGGCTAGACCCCGGTGCGCGTTGATGAGATTTAGAAAAACAAGTTGCTCCGAGTTAATGTGTCAGTGTGTCGTAATGTATCCGGGCAGTTAATTGGAGACACGAGTGTGATCGAAGTAACTCGGGGGAGAGATAGCGAACCGTGTAGAGACATCGGTGATATAAGATGAGCCCAGCCTCACAGGGCGGCGTAGAGGTGGAGCGTTACATAGGTAGCTGTCTGATATCGTCAAACCTGAGATCAGCGTCCCACAAGCCGATCATAGGCAAGAAGGATCCGTTAGTTCGAGGAAAGTCTCGTGGCTGTTACCCTGGTCAGAGTTTCCCTAGTGAGCAGAGGGTGCAGTATGGTCCTGGTGGTTGGGCCGGTGCCCCCTTGATATCCATGACGTCCAGCCCTAGAAGATGTAACCAGAGATCCTCGCCATCCCTTTGTCAGCAGCAGCAACAGCAGACCCAACAGCAGCAGCAGCAACAGCAGCAGCAGCAGCAGCAGCAAATCTGCGATCAGCAAGTGTCGACACACCTGTCCAAGAATCCGCTCTCGAGGCTGGCGATCCACACACAGGGAGCGCCGCTAATCTTGACCGGTCGGTTTCACAATCGAGGCAAGCCGCAGAACAACACCGGGACCGCCGCGAATGGCATTGGCAACCCGGTGTGCAGCGCCGCGCCGGTTAGTAGTTACGTTCACAACAATGGGAACGCCGGCACGGGCGGCACGATGAACGCGTCGAGGTGTCTATCGCGGACCCAGCGAGCTGAGCTGCCTAAAAAACAGCAGCAGCAGCAGCAGGCTAGTCCGAAGCCAGAGTGTCCGAGCAAGGATGCCACCAACGGGACCAACAGCATCGCGAACATCGACTCGCTGAGCATCGCCAGCGACGAGAGCTCGGGCTCGAACAACTCGGAGAACAGTCTGCCGCGGATAATCAAGCCCCGCAAGCGTAGAAAGAAAGACAGGAAGCCGACGACCGGCGTGAACGTGACTGTCGGAGACGCGAAGCACGAGGATCAGCAACAAACCAGCGCGACGGTGGAGTCAAGCGTGCCTGTGAACCCTTTGAAACCGTACGGAACCGGCTGCTACGAGACACCGTCTCAGCTCAGGAATCACAGAAGGCCACCGTTGAGCAGGGAAAGTAGCGGCGGCGGATACGGTGGATGCAGAGCAGCAGCGCAGGTAGCGGGCATGTCAGCGCAGGAGATCGGCGACGCGCGACATAGGTACGCACACCGGCACGTGGAAGTGAAAGTGCTCGACGACAACAGAAACGTCGTCGTGCCGGTGCAAATTCGAACGGTACCGAAAGGGTACAGGCACGCGGCGGCGGCCGGCCACCACCACGTGGCCGTGCCGCGGTACCTGCACGAGTATGGCCTGGTGGGCTGCGAGGACGGTATCAAGGACGGGTTGAACTCCTCGTGTCAGTGCAGGTACTGCGACCCGTCCGGGCTGATCTGGGACGTAGATCAGAACTGTTACCCGCCATCGTTCTTCGCGCGCCCGGAGTTCTGTTCCAATCATTTCTCGCACATGTCGTTGTACCTCTCCCGGCCAGGATTGAACTGTCAGGGACACGCCGCGGAGAAGCTGTTGAACGATCATCTGGCGCATCATCACGAAAGAGATCCGGTCACCGGATCTGGTGTCGTGCTGAGACGCAGCTGGAGCGACCCATCGAGCTACTTCAGCGAGGAGATCGCCGCGCCCAGCAAAGACGTCGGTGTGATCGGTGACAGGGGACAGAGTGAGAGTGGCAAGCGTCGAACGCTATGGCGCGGCGACTCGATCGGCATACCCACGAACGGCGTCGTCGGGTCACCCGGCGGGCCGGTGGTTAACGGCGCCGTGGCATCCCCTAAAGGTTTGGAAGTCTCCACCGAAATCATCACGTCACCCAATGGCCACCGGGATCTAGAGATCAAGTTCTATTCGGCGTCGCCGAACGCGCCGGCGCCTGAGGAGGACAAGATCATCTTCGCCGAGGAGCTGGACGAGGACGAAGAGGACTTCAGCGACATTTGGAGTTACCACGAGTCCAAGCTGCAGCAGGACTTCCGTACACTGCTACAAGCGGAGGAGTGAAACGGATTATTCTTCTCTGTACGGTCATCGTCGAGACGGAAACCGGAGTAGTTCCGTGCACACTCTTCCCCCGTTTTATTTTCTTTCCCTCCATTCGTGGTTGTTGGTGTGCTCGCCGCCCGGCCCGGATGAATCTTGGATCGCGCGTGCGACGAAGAATGGAGTGCGAGGATTGGTTCGCGACGGACGGAATTCCTCTCGTGGACCCGCATCGTCCGAAATTTCGCGCGCGGGTTCTGGTATAGTCGACGGTAAACGGGCTGGGGGCTTGTTGGAGGTTTTGTGGCGAGCGGGAGCGTGTTTGAATGTTTGAAATGTTACACCTTCTCTTGGCAATCTTTGCACGAGAAGTTGATTTTTCGTTATCGTTGAAGTTTAAGGTTATATGGATTTTATGGAGAAATTCTTATGTGAAGAGCAGATTTCAAGTTTACATTTTTATCATTGTGTGTCGAGAGTTTGAAGTAATACAGAATTCTTTTCTCGCATCGATAAAAAGAAAAAGAACTATTTTACTCTTGTCACGATATTTTAGAGCTGCAAGCGGAAAATCCACTTTCGACGTTCTTCAAACAACGTCAGCGCGAAATTTACCGGCGACGTTATATTATCCGAAAGAAAATGTCTACTTTAAATTTAGCGCAAGGTCGCTCCCGATCGCGTCACCGTTTCATTAATTAACGATGTTCTTTTACCGTTGACTATGTCTCTGAAAACTTGTCTCAGCGCACGACGCCCACGTCGCGGTCCCCGACGATCGACGAGTGTAGCCGGCGGTAACGAGCGAGGAGACTACGTGTCGAACGATTCTTCCTCCTAACGGTGTACGTTGTATACAGACACTATACGTGACGTGCGTGCACGCGTCGGAGCAGCTTCTGGAGGATCGTGCCTGGACGGTTGCAAAGTGCGACGGCGGTTGTTCGTTTGTCGGCGACACCGTTCTCGATCGAATCGATTTCGACGAAGCCAGTGCATTAAGGGGTGCGTCAATGGGCCTCCATCATCGTCGGAGCAAATATAGTGTCTTTCCCGAGGCACGAACGGCTTCTTAAGCCTCTCCGGCCGACTGCGAATCTGGGTTGACCGTTACCGCTCGGGATTTTCGTGAATTGAAACTCGCTCGATTCCTCGTTTTCATATTTCACCGCACCGGAGAAATTTCTAGAAGGGGACTATATTTGTTCCAACGAGAATGAACGCAGCCGCGTGTGCAGTTTCTCGGTGCACGGTTGGGTGTTATTCGGGACATCTTATAGTTAACCCTTTGCTTCATGATTCGTTCAAGTTTGCGAGAACTGCTTTATCGTTGACCCTTTGCTGACGAGAATTCCGGGAAACGCATTACGAATGTTTTGCTTGTGGAAGTAAATTATATATCGAAGTGTTGGATGATGCTAGGTGAGAATGAAAGCGAATGCTGGCCTTGTCATATGAATAGACGGTTCATTTGTTCATTGAAATTCGGAGTACGTGACCTTTTTTATCGTTCATCAGAGGGTTAATCACCAGTAGATAATAAAAGAGATGATAAAAGTTCATTTGTCGCGGAAGTTGAATGTTCATTGGAAAGCACTTTCCTCCGATCGATGTGATATATTTATTAAATTGAACGGAACAGTTGCATCGCGGGTCCAGCTTGATAAACATTGTGAGGCAAGGGGTGGCGAGATCGCGAATAAAAACCGTATTGTTCGGAGAGCAACGAATAATCGTTTAGTCGGATAAGATTATTCGTTGCCCGGGAATTGACTCCTTGAGGGATTTCCTCCCGGTACGGAGGAAAGCTCACCGAGAGCTCCGGGTAATTGATGATTGCACGTCCGATCGACGCGAAACATTTGCAACGAGATAAGGCGTCTTTTACACGGCGCTGACCACCGTCGACGAGACAAATAGAGACGCGACTGTTTAAATCGTAATAATCGATGGAATCGTCCAGCGATCGTCAGGAGAGCTCGTATTTCATGTCTACGCGTTTTCTCCCTTCCTAACCGCAGTCACGCGATGCCCGCGGCCGCACTACTCGCACAGCGATTCATTGTTTTCCCATCGTCCGCCACCGCTACGTGCTTATTTCCTTCGAGTTCGGTTTTTCCGTCGCCGAGGCTCGAAACAGTATTTCGCTCGCATGCGCCTCGAACATTACTTTCTCCTTTTTCTGTCACCGCCTTGTATTTCTCCAGCGATTTTCGAAGAAATACGCGAAACGTTCGTTCGACCAGTATCAATTACATTAACCTAATTTTCTCTTGGACATTCGAGATTTCTTGTTTTATTCGAACTTCACTTTTGTCGGTTTTCTTATTTGAGAAAGAGCAGAAGAATCTCGTTTGGAATATCTAATAAGTTATGATTGAACTGCGCGTTTTCCTCATTTATATCGTCCTCGTTTGATCCGCTGGAATTCGATACTCCAATTTAACTAAGTTTCACAGAGATTAACGTGATTCCTGCCTTTAGCAACACGCAACGAGATCCTTGATGAACTAGAGAAGTTCGTTTTGAATTTCAATTTTTGTAAATCGGCCAGCAAATATCTTTATTAACAAACTTAACGATCATACTTCGCGACGAATTCGTAGCACCGAGCATTTGTGCGCGTTTTTCAATATTCTCGATGTTTACATATTTTCTCGTGTCGTTTTTATGTTCGTTTAACGGTTGGAAACACTGAGTCTGTGTTTTGACGCATGAGAGCGCGCCGGTTGCCATGTTTTACGAAAACTGAGCGTAATAAGGCGTAGCGGGGGACTTATCGAGACTGATTCGCCCGTGTGCGCGGCGTAGCTGCGCTCGACTTTAGTCAAAGGGCACCGCCGCGGATTTCTGTAAACCTACCGAGGGAAACGAGGAACACACAGGGAAATGAGTCGATCGATCACAAAACTCTGCGGGGAGCAGCAGCCGTTCCAGCGTCCGTGATAGGCCGACTTGTTCGTCACTAGAAATATTTGCGTGCGACAATTACGACGTGCATACGTGTTTCTTTCTTTTCTTCTTTTCTTGCTCTTCTTCGCTAACGTCTCTGCGTGCGCGACACGGACATACACGAGGATTTCGCGTTGATAGAGGAATAATGAGGATTTACCCCTTGCACTGTGATTTCTTTCAGAACTGCGGGCGTCAGAAGTATGACATTGTTTATAATTAATTGGCAAAAGGATAGGATTATTTTATTGTTCGTAGTTCATTGAAAAGAGGATAAAATTATTTTACTATTCGTATATTCTTCATTGGAAAACAAACAAAATTCCACGATCATACTGTATCTACGTTTGCTTCTAAACGCTGCAATTGGCAATAGAAAATTACCATTTAATTTGATCTAGAAGGGATTACGCGATATTCCTATTTGTTGAAGTCTGTTTGAAATCTTCGCCACGAGTTTGACACGATATTGTAGGGCAAGGGGTTAACAACACGTGCGCAACGTATTTAATATACATACACACGCGTAAAAATACATCTTGTGCGTCACGGACGAGGCGTGAGGTTCACCTAACGTATAATTGGATTTTGGGTGTTAGGGATTAATGGAGAAGTGTTTTTTGTCCTTTTTTTAGTTGAATGGGTGTAACGTAAGTGGGCAGATCTTTTGGGGTTGTTTGTGCAGGGAAGTTTAAGGTGGGTTTAAAGGGTTTGAAGCTTATTAGGGGATGATTGATGAAACTTCGGTGGATAGTGATCGTATAGAAATATTTGTTACAGATTTTGTTTGTCGGTTATCGTTTACATTGAAGGGATGAAAATAGTTTAGGAAGTTGAGTGAGGAGCTTGTGCGGTTGAATATTTCGGGAATTACGGGAGCTGCGGAATATTCGAAGAATTTTCGTAAAGCATTGTAGAACGGAAGTTCACTGCTTTTTAATTGGACTCGTTTGAACACTGCCTTTCGCAGATAATAAAAACAAAATTTAATTACAATAATCTTTTTTATAATACAAGAATGAAAATTCCCATTTACGACAGTGAACATGTTAACCGCTTAACAAAGAAATTTTTTTGTTGTGTAATTCTATTCACGAACTTTGAGTCAAATTAGTATTGCTCCCATTCGATTACCAAAACATAAACTGGCCATCATTTAATTCCTTAAAAGAAAATCTTTCCGTTTGATTAAGTAAATTCATTAAATGAATCTTTGCACTCGACAATATTGTTCACCATAAATATTCATTACTTCCTGATGAAATATCCATATTTTTTGTAATTAACCTGAAGAAAATTTGTGCATAAATGCAAATGCAAAATTGACTCTTGAATTAAAAATTGCATAATTATACCTTGTTAAAATCGAATGCAACGTGTTAATAGCGAAAATAGTGCAACACATTCGAAGTACAGACCCAAAGTCGACCGATCGAATTTTGACTCGCTGTTCCAACAGAAATAAAACCAGAAACCGTATTTGGCAAAAGTGCAATGGGAAGAATATCCGAGCAAGCAGCGCTGTTCGCTCTCGTAAACACCAATTGACTCGCTCCGCGCGATAGTGGTGAAAATTCTAACTGCCGTGGTTTCTTGAAAATCCCACTTAAATGTCTCCGGCGAGGCGCACTTGATTTACTCCGCCCACTTCTCTAAAGTGTTCTCGCGCCGCGTTAATCGACCCGTCTCCCGTCGTTTGTTCGTTTCCTGCGACGAAACGACGTGATCACCTCGCAAAGAAAAAATATAATAATGTTTCCCACGATTTCCAATTCATCTCTACCAGAGAAATATTTAATAGGTCGACAAGATTTCGTTGTACACGCTAATTGTTCGAGCACGGTTTTTCGAAGTGGCAATGGTGTTTTATCGTTTCGCAAAATTTCCGATATTTTTTTTCGCAAACATAATGAATTTACGCAGAATCTGTTCTCTCGTGGCTCGCTTGCACCGGGGATATTTATACTGTTGAGCGCTGGATGGATATATTTATTTTCGGCGTTCCGTTAAATGCCGTTATTTTGCGCTACATATTACTGTGGATTATTTTATTCTGTACTCTGCCTCTGTTCCCCCGAGTGAAACGGCTGCTTTAACTGCCACGCAATGGCAGCTGGAAGGCTAATTTCATATATGATTTTCGGATTGATACTCATTAGCTCGTACATTCCTGGTTATATTATTTTGAGAACTACCAGAATCATTTCCTCTGGTTTTGTATTATGTAACTTTACTTCGCATCTGTGTAAAAAAGAAATTCACTTTAAAAATCCTTGCTTCCCAAAGTTCTGTAATTTAAGTTGAAGGATCGATTACCAGTATTTATATTATCAAAAATTAATCATCAATGTAATGCATTCGCATCACATTTCAATTAATTTGAACCAAACAATATCCTCATTTATTACATTCAGTCTAAAAGCCGTCAGCTTGAACATCGGATGCAATAAAAAAAATTAGTTCGATCGAGGAACCACTGGCACGACGATTCTTTTCACCATACAAACAATAACCAACCAAGCGAAAATCTCTGAGTACCCAAAAATCTCTCGCACCGAGCCAAAATGATTGACAAACGATACAAGATTGTTTGAAACACGAGTTCAACCAAAAGCCTCGTCCGCGTTCCATGTCCTCTCTCGCTTAGAGCGTAAGGCCTAGATTGTAAGGCGATCTACTTAGATTACCAACACACATGAACACGAAACGTGCAAGCAAACACACACACACACACACACACATATATACATACGCACGCACACACCGTTGTCTATATGTGTATAGAATGTGAAAGAGGCGCGTGTCGAACGGTCCGCCTTTTATTTACCATTAGTCCGTTAGGGATTAAAACTGCGAAGGAAAGAGAACTGCGCGGTGATCATCGACCGAGAGCGAGAAAGTACATACATACGCGCACGAGCGTGCGATGTTTAACGTAACGAACCCACACACGCGTATGCGAGAAGGATAATCGAGCCGCGAGCGATCACCGAACCCGTTTTAATTAGACTTTAAGGGCGCCTCGCGACGATGCGAACGGACGAGACGCAAAGATCACCACCGCGAGTGAAGGATCGCACAGGAGCAATATTTATCTGTTGCCGGCTGGCGCGCGTCGCCGCCACGCAGCAAGTTTTATTGCTAAGTAGCAACAGACAAATATTGACGTCGACACTTGTTAAAGCAGCATGTGCCGCGTATGAGATACGCGGAGGCCTGTTGTTGTTGCTGCTGCTGCTTTAATAACGCATCCGCCTGGCATTCTTCGAGCGTGTTCGAGCGAGCCGCGCGATTCTAAACCGCGTTCACTCTCGTTTCACCGTTCAACCCCCTCGTTCACCGTTCAGTTTCTCTCTCTCTCTCGTTTCCTCTTCCCTCTGTCCCTTGTTTCTCCATCGAGTTTTCGATTGATTCGCGTCGATGTTCTGCAGCGTTCCGACTATACATCTCTTTTCCTTCCCTTCGCGGCGGGCCGCCATTGCAAATCGATCGGCCGCGTTCGCCGAGGAATGAAGACGGTTTTCGATCTTCGTTTCTCGAGGGAAACGGTCCTCGCTCGAGAAGAACGCGGCTGGTTTCGCTTTTAACCCTTCGCGGTCCGAAGAGCTGTTCTTGGTTTTTCCGTCTGCGAGTTGTTCAACGCGACTGTTTCGACGACTCTGCTGCGCTCCTGCGGTCTTTTTCGACCTGATTACGCTTCCGTTTCTGTAACATCGTTCCTTTAATATCTCCTCCCCGATTTTATAACGTTCGTATTTTGCCGGAGGTTCCTGCGAGTTCGAGGAAACTACGGGGAAATAGTTACCACCGTTTGTTCCTATTTTGTTCGATGGCGTTTCGAGTGTCTTGGTAAACCGCGGAGCGTAGCGGGGTTAATTTATTCGAGGAGCGTTGAGATTGTGTTTATATCTGATGCAACCGCAATATATTGATATTTGTCGCGAAGTATTCCGATATACTTGAAATCGAATCGAGTGTCGAATTTACTTCGGCGAAGGATCGTGAAGGGTTAATCTTCGGCAACGTTATAATTTATTTCGACCGATGATACGCACTTTGCGTCTCGTTGAACGTTCGAGAGAATCGCGCGAGCCGCGGGAATGGTCACGCGTACACCTACGAACTCGTTAAGTTCTTCTCGCGTGACGAGATTTCTTTTCTTCTCTCTCTTTTTTTTTCTTTTCGTTTCTCATCGAACACTCG